AAAGCTTTCATTTAGAGCAACAAAGCACTACTCAATGCATTCTTCTAATTACGACTAACAGCTCCCTTCCTTATCAAGTTTTTTCAACAGTCCAGCCCCCCCTACGTTTGATATCGCAGCCACTGTCCAGCACACCTAAATGATTGCACGCATTATGTTTGCATTCCTCCTGACAGCAGTCTAATTCTTGGTACAATCAGTCAAACAGATATGATGCAAAATCTGGAGCAGTAACGAAAACTCCCCTACTACTGGCACACTGTTACAAAACTAATTAAATCATGCAATTCCTGAAGACCGCTTACTTTTTTACGCCGGAAGATTTCACAGCTATCTTATTTGATGTTGCGCTTGGACTCGCTGCATTCCGTACATCAGCCAGTGGCTCCCCTATAATAATTCCATTGGAAAACTCTTCAAATGCCCATGACAAAATATGTATAAGTTTGCAATATGCACAAGTTTTTGAATATCCTTTCCCACACTTTTCCCAAATGTGATGAAACTAACAAAAAGTTCTCCCGTCCCAAGCACCACTTCTACAGTTTACCGACGCCATACTGCCAATACACCCCTACCATTCTTTCTCTTCGTCCAAGCTTAGCGTTAAAATCCTTCACAACAAGTGCATACACAGACTTGACGATCAAAATGGATTCGAGCTAAGCATACAACTTTTCAACTTCATCGACGTCACTAGCCATGACAAAAACATGTACTTAGACGTTTTCGAGGATTTTATTGAAATTTAGCCTGAGCAGCAATGCGCCAGTTCGTGACGAATTCTGTTAGATGATTTGCGGAATGTTAGCAGTTTTTCCGCTAAAATTTTTACACGCCCGTGCGCTGAGAACCACCTATCCCCAGGACTAGATTTGAAATAATCTTTAGGTTGTACGTAAACGGGGGAAATCTCCGTAAAATTTCAGCTTTCCTGCTTTCCTGATCGCTGGTTTAGCAACTTTCACGTCAAAATTTTCACGACAAGTGAAAATTTTGACGTGAAAATTGGACGTACTGGAGAAATAAATATGAAGTCTTTTGGAGGTGAGTAGAAGACGCTTTCTTAAAATCTCAGCTTCCTAGGTTTCTTGTTCCCGATTCACTAAATTTCAGGTCAAAAACCTCACGTGCCCCTAGTCGTGCACGGGGGCTGAATTTGAAATCTTT